TTCAAAAAAAAAAATCAGAATTCTGAGATTAAGTTTAGAATTTTGAGATTAAAGTCATAATTCAAAAAAAAAAATCAGAATTCTGAGATTAAGTTTAGAATTTTGAGATTAAAGTCATAATTCTGAGAAAAAAGTCAGAATTCTGAGATTAAAGTCAGCATTCTGAGAAAAAAAAGCCAGAATTCTGAGATTAAAGTCAGCATTCTGAGAAAAAAGAAAGCCAGAATTTTGAGATTAAAGTCAGCATTCTAAGAAAAAAAGCCAGAATTTTGAGATTAAAGTCAGCATTCTGAGAAAAAAAAGCCAGAATTCTGAGATTAAAGTCAGAAGTCCGATTTTTTTCCCTATATTAAACTGAAATAATATTTAAAAATCAGTTTTGTTTTGTTTTTTCTCCCAGTGGCCTTAAATCCTCTTCCGTAGTTTCTATTGTTTAGTAATGAAAATATATTAGCCATGAAATGTATTCAATATGTTAAATCTAATGCAATAAACAGTTGACTATTTAGTCATTTTAGAATAGAGTAGGTGTTTTAGAATGAATATCTATCAATTGCAAGTATTTATCTGTTTTCAATTAATCCTTTATATCTTATTATCTCTCACAATAATTAATCCTGTTGTTGCAGCACTTTAAATCACGTCTTAAAAACGTGAATATGCTTCTGAATAAGGTTTAGCGAGTTTTAAATTGCATTTCAAAATTTTCAGCGAGTTTTTTGTCGGAAAAGTTGACTGCGCCTGCGCAGAACGCGGTGGCGTGCAGAAAGACGCACTTTGCAAATTCTGAAGGAAAACGACTATTTATCGAAAATGAAAAAAGATTTAAAAGTCATGATTTCACTGAACAACTGGAGATGAAACAAGCGAAGCGGCTGAAGAAAGTAAATAATATAGCGAGGTTAAAAATGAAAGTTTAATCGTGGCCTATCAACCTGAGCACACCTGAGATTAATGAGGATTATCTGCTTGCTTTACAGTTTCTGACCGCTCTGGAAATGGGCTTAAATGAAAACATACATTAAGGTAAGACGGCTTGTTTAATTGTGCTTAATGGGAGAATTGTTATTGGTAGATATAAGTTAATAGTTATTTCTGTTTATTGCTGTTTTAGTAATGTTTGCGTTTGCTGTGTTCAGTAATGTTCCTCAGCTGGATTCAACCTGATGCATTTCATTTTACACTCATTTAAAGACAAATAATTAACCCCTGAAATTAAAACAACACAAAAGAAACAACAACAACAAAAAATAAAACTGTTAGTTATTATTTTCCCCTTAATATTGGAAAGTGTGGCATGCATCTGCCTTCAGTGCAGGCCCAGCTTATATTGTGCTTTAGGGAAAAATATGGATTTTGATGTCACCAGGGTAGATAGAAGTCTGGAAACCAAGTTTTTTTTTTTAAAGCATTAAGAACATTACATGTAGCCTTTTCTTCCCAATTTTCTTACATAAGAAAGAAAAAAAAAATTAGTTCTTTGACTACTCTTGCCTAGTTTGGAGCTTTAAATGTTATCAAATGTGTATTAGAAACCTAGATGATGACCTTGTCTGTCTTTTGCTGTATTTGGAGGTCAGGCTGGCCTGCAGTACTCGAAAGATGAATTGTGATGTTATATTTTTTTTTAGGTTGTACTGGTCCTTTTTTTATTTTACCTCTATGCTGTTATTTGTGAAGCTTTTATCTGAGACGTTAATGCAGGAGTAAATAAGACCTAAATGAGTTGTGACCATAGATAAAACAGAATGCGATTCTTAACCCACTGCTGAATATTGATGGAGTTTCTCCCTAAATGTTGCATGATGCATAGCAGATACTCTTAACTCATCCTCCTATTTTTCTGGTTTCTGGTTACTGCACTTAGAGCATTGTTACTTTCAGACTTAGGAAACTGAACGAGCCAGGGTGCAGCACTTTGAGCGGATATGACAGGGTGATAAAATGTTGACATCTGTGCGTCATACTTATATGGGCTTTCTTTATGTGCTATGATTGTGGTGTGATGTAAATCCTCCTGACTGTTATGCTGAAGGTGGATTGTAGATTTAATATGATTCAGAAGATTATCATTGAATGAGTCATAGTGTGCTGTAATGACGCTCAGGCAATTATTATGCCATTTTTATTTTATTTTTTTCCAGAGGAAACTTTTCTGATATCAGTCACAAGGCACCAAGGAGGGATAAGTTGGTATTTATTTGGTTCTGTGATTAGAGTTGGCTGTGTGGGGTGGGGGTGATCCCTATATTCATTCATTCTATAGTTCATTCACACTTTTTCACAATGGTGTCAAGATTCTAAAGCCTGGCTGAGGTGTCTGTGCTAACCTCATTAATTCAGCTTACTCCTGGCTAATTAATCGTTGTCAAAGTAATTACAGTTATCTAGAGTTACCAACACCATGTTCCCTTCATGGCTGCAGGAGGGCGGCCTCCCTTAAAGCTGTCTTAGTTTCCTGTCCTACTGTAAAAAGCTAATGTAACTAAGTCGGCCTTTTATCTTCTACACAGAATATATATATATATATATATATATATATATATATATATATATATATATATATATATATATGTGTGTGTGTGTGTGTTTTTACC